CTGCGGAAGGGTTGAGCTGGACCAGAGGGGGAAATGGAACCATACATCAAGGCCTTAAGGTTGTGAGTGCCCTGGAAGGGCATAGATATGCATGTAGCCCTCAAAGGTATAGGGGCCTGGCAGGGACATGGGCCAGCCAAGAGGGTCTAATGAGCTTAAGGGTCAAGTCAAAGCAGTTGGGGATCCAGGAAAGACCCAGTGGTACCACAAGTGGATTAAGGCTCACTATAAAGCCTGTGGGCAGCCTCCCTTATTCAACCTCTAGTAAGAACAAGGCATGGTGGGCAAGCATTTAAGGGAGGGCTGTAATAGAGATTGATCTGGGCAGGAGTCACATGGCCACCAAGTGATTTCACGACCACCCGTGGGGCACAAACCTGTCACAAGGATATGGGTCCAACTGCCCTCCTCCTGCTGGCTTATGGCACTGAGCAGCCCTGACATGCTGGTGCACCACCCCTGCCTATGCCATTGCCCCTCACACCTAAGTCATCGCTCACTTCTGACCCACAGCCCTTGCCTCCCTCCACTTGCCCCCTCTTGGCAGCAGCTACCTCCCTGCACCAGGTGGATGCATGGGGTGGGGGGGGGTGTACATGGGGCAGGGGGTGGGTGTGGGGCAAGGGCTGTGTGGGCATAGGTGATGTATAAGTGCCAAAACTCGGAGAGCACAACTTCGCACTGCCACTGCAGTGGGGAGCACAACTGTGTCCCTGCCCCCCCTGCTGCTGACAGGTGGGCAGGGAGCACCTCACCTTGACATCCATGAGGGCACAACTGGTGTGGGGCTCTCGGTGGTGACAGTGGTCGCGATGTTGAGTCTCCCTACCCATTTTCATCCTCTCACTCTGGCCCATGGAGGTGACTCCTGCCTGGTGCTGATCTGGCCAGGCTGCAGCCCCTTTCTCCACTGTTGGTACAGAAATCAGTGCGGGGGGGAGGGATGTGCCCTCCATGTCCTCCTGATGCATTGCTAATGTGTGTGGGGCAGGGGATGTATGAGGCTATCCAGAGCTTGGCCCCTGCTCCAGTTTTGCAGGGCTGGCCCAGACTCACCAGAGCTTGGCCCCTGATGGTCCAAATTGGCCCTGCATCATCAGGGCCATGCACCAAGCTGTGGCATGTCTGAACCACCCCTGTGCCATTGAAGATCTCCCCCTGATGGTGCAGGGCCAGTTGAGATTTGCCAGAGTTCAGCCCTTGGCCCTGATGATCCAGAGATGGTCCCCAAGAAGCCATCCTCCGACCTCCAACCCCGCCATCCTATAGATTTACTTGCATGCAGCTGCCGGGGCTGCTCCCACCACCCTACCTGATTGTATTGCCAGCTGCGTGTGAGCATGCGTGCATGTTATTGTGGTGCCCCCTGCCCCTAAGTCCCAGATTTTTTTTTCCTTTGCCTTCCCAGCCCTGCCTCTGATCGCCCTCCTCCTCCCCCCGCAGCCCCAAGCAGCTCATTGCAGGCTAAAACTCTGGCAGCCTGCAGAGGGAAACTCACAATTTCCCACTTTAAAGGGGAAAATCCAGTTTTTTCTCCTTTAAAGGGAAAATCTGCAGTTTTCCACAGGAAACAGAAAACCCAGATCCCTGGTTATTATTTTGAATGTGAAACCTGACTGATCCTCCTATAGGAGCCTAATGGGGAGATTTCCTGGGGCTGATTTTTGCCTTAATGTGTGCTCCAGGTATTATGTGCTCCAGGTATCATGGCACAGAGAGAGTTTAGGATTAACCAAATATATTGATATCCAGGTCATTTACCGACAACCTAGTATTCCACAGGAAATATTTGACCTGGTCTCACCTGGAGATGACCCCTACACCAGGCATTCTCATCAGGGGTTCTTAGAGAGTAAATGGGTTACAATGTAACAATTTATTCTATAGCTAATACTACTTCTGCACTCAGTCAAGGCTCAATAAATGGAATCCTTCATGCTGTGTTGACCCAAGGTCAGCATTTGGTCACTTTTGAGCGTAACATCAACAGGAAATTGTAATATGTCATTATGCAATAACGGGGATATTAACCCCTGGCAAATTCTAGCTTTGGTAATTATTTACCTACATTTTCTTGCCCACTGCAGTTTTTATGGGTGAAGGACAGCTTTTTATTTCCTGACCTAAGACACTGGATATGTTTGTGTTGTATTATAAAACAGCTGCTTTATCCAATCCCAGAGGTGGCTATATGCCAGTGGTAGATTAAGTCATTATTATATCACTTATGTAGCTATAACTACATGTAACAAGCTTATGTCCCTTCTGGATCCTCTTGGACCTTTTTTTATTGAAAAGCTGTTATCTTAGATGCAGAATGAACAATTTATTTACCATAAGAGCTCACAGCTGGATACTAGGCTAGGCAGCTTTAACCAATTTCTCTAGATTGTAAGCAATTTGGGCAGGGATTTTCTTTTGGCTATAAGTTTGTATGGTGTTCTGTACTCCAGCAGTGCTTGACTGGGACACTACTACTAATAATGCTTCACACCTTAAAGAGTCAAAGAAGGTGCAGGACAGGGATGTTAAAAGCCCATATTTATATAAAAAAAAGGCATACAAATTAGTACAACAGCTTATGTAGCAAAGATGATTTTTGGGGTATAAGAAACAACAGATAGGAGGCTTCTGTAGAACTAAGAGTTAGAGTTTCAGCATACAAACATACTCACTCTTAATAAAGTTTATACAGAAAATCTCCGCAGAAATTGATAAGCTTCATAATATAAACAAACCTGGCTCTTTACTGTAGATAGAAGAAAAAAATTAGCCAGATGTTCACTTAAAAACATTAGCTACAAAGAAACCTTTTGAGGTAGAGAGGGGTGTTTGTAGGAGTTAATATCAGCTTATTTATTTTAGTTATTAAGTTTTCCTGAAAGGAATAGTTAATATTTTAGAGAAATATCACTACCTAGGGGATAAAAGGAACTTTGACTCCTAAGAAAACAAGACGACCTTCCATAGGATAAAATGACATGTTTATGCCCATTTCTGTACAGTTAAAATGGTACCAGCTGTAACGTCTACATTCACAAAATGATCTCAGGTGACAGATTTCTCCTAGTTTTCATCAGCTTTGCAATATTTAGAAAGCTGTTCAAAATCACCCAGATTTTCTGGTAAGGTGTTAAAGAGGAAGACTGAGTTTACGAAGTGTATTAAATCCTTATTTACAATTGTTTAAATTATATTTCATATGTATAGCACTTGAGGGAACAAAACCACACATACCCTATCTTGAACTTTACCTTTGCTGGCTTTATAAATCTCTTTTTGCATGTTTGATTTGTCTCCAATTGTACTAAATTTTAGTAAGAAAGTACATAATATGAATATGGGAAGGAAATGGAGAGAGAAAAAAAGATCTTGGCTAAGTTTATTTTATGAAAACCCCCAGATGTAACTCTCAGCATCTGAATGTTTCTATCTGGCTCAGACTGACATTTCCTTTCAGAGAAGGAAGATGGGCAGAGTTATTTGAGGTGGAAGAAAACAATTATTAAAGGGTTTCTTAATCCAGTCTCTAAAATTGTCTTCACAATTACTTTCATGAAGGTTTTGGGATCCCCTCTCCTTAGCCTACTGTGTGTTTCTGCTCAAACAAGGGAGATGCAGGACTGAGTAAAATTCAGACAAAGGCTTGGTTATCCATGAAGTTGTGCTGATTGTATTAAAGGTTTTACTTGAACTGGTCAGAATGAGGGAGAATGGTGACAGACGTGTGAATAAAATGAAAGTGGAAGGATGGAACTTGATTGTCTTTCTGATAGTAAAAGGCAGGGGCCTGATTCCTCCAGCTGTACTAGGGTCCAAAGCAAGGTTTAATGGCCTGATGCCACACAACTGGAAAAAAAAGCTGGCTGAGCATCCCCCTCTGCCCTTCATTACTCAACTAGCTGTTCAGCCTGCTGCAGAATCCCACCAGCCTTCTGGCTCTCAAAGGGGCCCAAGACCACAAAGGAGAGAAACTATGTCTGATGAGATCTCAAGGTCCCTCTGTCTCCTTACAGACTTAACTACATCCAACATGGATCCAAAGCTCTGATTTACCTCAGGAGCTATACTCTGGAAGCCTTGTACCTATCCTGGAGGCCAGCTGTAAATTGTTATGATATTTTACCTTTCTAACCTCTCATTTTTAATATATATCACATCCTCCTCTTTAACTCCACCTATCGAGCCATCTGGATGCTGTGTGGAAGGCCACCACAGATGTTTTGTTAGTCTTGCCCAAAGGGAAACCTTTCTTCCTGATTCCAGAACACCATCTGGCATAATCCCCAGCAAGATCAGAAACCCCGCACTGCCACCTATGGGACCAAGCAGTTTTCAGTATTAAGAATGAGTGCTGCGTGTCCAGCAGAGGAAAGGGGATTTGCTAGAGCCGCTCAACTTCCTTAATTTCCCTTATTGCTTGCAAATTGATGCTTATGGGGGACTGACGTTCCCTGTGGTACTTATCCCCATAACCCCCCCCCATCCATCCAGCAGGTTCCCAGGTGATGTCTTGTCCCCTTCAAGTTAAAGCGCTCATCCTTTATTATAATCCGAGAAGAAGCATTTAGTTAAATCTGTGCAAAAGGCTATGTGAACACACTTCAAAGCTCAGCCTATCAAACAATAGTGTCTCCAGATAGTCTTGCACTGGCTTAAAAATAATTTTGGTTAAATTTCAATATGTCAGGTATGTACAGAAGTTGCTTTTTTCACCATTTAAAGCACTTTATTGTTGTGACTTCATCCATGTGTGAAGTGTGCAGCCTGGGAGGCCCATGACCCCCACTAGTGCTGCCCCTGCAGCGTGTGGCACCCACGGTGCAGCCTGTGAGGCATGTGACCTATGGCCGCTGTGAAGTTGAACAGCCTTGTAGCAGCAGCCTGTTGATTAGAGATTCTTCCAGGAGATAGTAGACCAAAACTTCATGCC